ACATTTCCAGTGTGAATATAATTAGCAATGAGATCCCCTGTTATAGTTCCCATACAAATAAAGATGGCCGTTGGAATAGACATATGTATACTTTCAAATACAACTCTTCCTATTCTACGATAAAGTGGTGGATTATAGGTCGAAGCGTCGTCATGGATGATTATTCGACGTTGATGAAGAAGTATTCCAGGACTTCCGATATAACTTTCAGATTTAAACAGATGTAATGATGCTGGTAGTTTCGAATGCACTCCAAGAAGCACATCATCTTCGATAACTGCACCACATGCGACGACACTCGAATTTCCAATGAAAACGCGATTTCCCGTTTTCACTTTATCCAGAATCAGCCATCCTCGACGAACCTTTTCATCTGCTACTATCGTATCATCAGCAACAAAATTATGCTCACCTAGTTCGATCATATCGCACTCGCTGCCAAAATCGGTTGAAATTTCCGTACCTGTTCCAATTTTGGCTCCCATTAAACGGTACCAATTACGCATCAGAACTGTTGAATGAATTGAATATGCAGTGTCCAATGCTACGTCAATAGCCAGCTTTACCATCCATTTGCGAACATATAACCAACTGTGAATAGAATACAAACCAGGACGTAGTCGTGACGGTAGTATAATCCATCGTAGTGCAGTGACCACAGTTAATGCAAGCATAATTAAAATGAACGAAGTTGGTATACCTAATATAAGGAGGGTTAACCAGGAAACTTCTACTCCTGATCCACCGCGTATGAGACTATCAAAATAAGAAAACAAGAAAAAGGCAGGAAAGATTGGTAATAGACCTACGAGTAGCATCACACAATAACCAACGATATAAACTAACAACTGAGCCATGCGTGTCAAGCGACTTGGCTTAGGAGCCTCTGCAAAAGTTGGTTCATCTACCATTCTAATTTTACGGGCTGGTGATCCATCCCAGTATTCACCTGACTCAACCACTGTTCCAGATGGAAGAGCAGATAAATCTGCAAGCTCTGCACCCGCTGATACAATTGTATTTGGTTCGAAAACACAGGCAGTTCCCACAACAGCATTTGCACCAATAAAAATACTGCCGATAATCATTTGATTTCCTATGATTTTAACATTTGCAAAAACTGTATCTTCACCAATGCTAGCGCCTTCTTCAACTGTGATTAGGTCAAACGTACCCACCTCACCTGTGGAAATAATGGCGTCTCGACCAATATGGGCACCAAGTGCGCGCATGTATATGCGCATTAAAGGCGATCGTTGTAAAAGAGAACTATTAACCACGGTTAGCAAACGCTGAACTAACCATATTCGGTAATAATACGATCCCCACATTGGATAACAACCAGGTTTTGTTCGTCCCAAAATAAGCCATTTGAGTCCCACCACTAATATTTGGAGGGTAATTACAAGACACAAATAAAGGGGCAAAAGTACAAGTATTTCTGTCAGCAACATGGCAGTCTCTCGGTAAAGAACAACGGAAGAAGCATACAAAGATATCCATTGACACATCAGCAGAAATAGGATAAATGGTAAGGCGAGTGCTTGAGCACAACCGCATAAGAACCGACGTTGTAATGGTGGAGGTGTGAATGATAAGTCCTTATTGGAAATGCTTGTTTTTTCACGTCGAGTATCCAGTTGTGCAGATATGGCTCTGAGTACTCGATACTTATACACATCTTGAATAGTAATATCAGCTAGACTTGCTGTTTCACGAACAAAAGATATAAACATTGCTACGACCAATGAATGTCCACCCAAATCAGTAAAGAAGTCACTGTCTAATGATACAACTTGATCGGAGAATACTCGCCTAGCTGCAGCTAAAACAGTTTTCTCAGTTTCTGTGAATGATTCCTCATCTTGACTACTTTCTATCACAGCGGCAACCAGTGGCATAGTTCTTAGACTCTTATAATCGATTTTGCCCGAAGTCAGATAAGGTAGCCTAGGCATAATTTCATAGTGAGCAGGAACCATATAGGCGGGAAGAACCTTAAGTAATTCTATTCGTAATTCCGAATAATTAAGATCAGCACCGGCTTCAACGACAAGAAAAGCACAAAGACGATCAATATCATTATCACGACGGAGTAATACTGCAGCTTGATTAATGCGTGGCATCTGCCGTATTTTGGCTTCAATTTCACCAATTTCAACTCGAAATCCACGAATCTTTACTTGATCATCAGTTCTACCATAAAATACAATATTACCATCAACATTTATGCTCGCTAAATCGCCTGTCCGATACAGAATAGGACAACGAGGATCTTGCAATGGGTTAGGAATAAATTTTTGATTTGTGAGATCTAATCGATTTAAATATCCTTCTTGAGATACTCCAGGACCACCAATAAGCAGTTCACCTTGTTCGCCGATCGGAACAATTTCTATCTGTTCATTTACCACATAACATGTGTAATTTGGAATCGGTTTACCAATTGAGATGGGATCACCAATATGTATTTCTCCGACCGTTGCTACTACTGATGTTTCTGTTGGTCCATAACTATTGAGCAATCTACAGTTCTCTTTTGCATAACGATTAACGATACGAGCTGGTAAAGCTTCTCCTCCTACTATAACCATTCTTAATGACGGAATATCCGTTGTTAGCAATGCTAGTAATGTCGGTACTGTATCGATAACAGTTATGCCCATCTGTTGCATGACATGTGGTAAATGCTCAATGTCCATCATGACTTCAGCATTAGCAACAAACAGCTTGGCGCCAACCATATACGATACCCAGATTTCTTCCAGGCACAAATCAAATGCTATCGAAGTTCCTTGGAAAACAGTATCATCAGCAGTAAACCCATAAACCTCATTGACAGCACGCAGTAAGTGACAAATATTACTGTGGCTGATAACAACACCTTTAGGTTTACCTGTGGATCCTGATGTATAGATCAGATATGCACGGTCATTTATTGAGGGACGATTATGAGCAACTTCAAAGTTTCCCGGATTGTCTTTGATTAGATCTTCATAAAGAAATATAAGATGATCAGTATTCGATATTTGTTCTGAACCAAGTCTGTTGGTTAGAAGAACCTTGGCTCCTGCATCAGATAAACAGGTTGAAATTCGATCAACAGGTGCAGCTGCATCAAATGGTAACCAAGCAGCACCTGATTTTGTTATTCCTATTTGTGCAATTAAAACATCTACACCACGTTCCATCCACAACCCAACAATATCACCTCGTCCAATATTAGCTTTTAAAAGTCCATTACGTATGATATCAGATAGTTCACCGATCTGACCATAGGTCCAGCTACGTTCACCATTCATCACGGCTGTATTAAAATAATATTTCTTAACAGTAGCATCGAATATATCTGGTAGCGTTTCATTTTGGATAAGATCGGGTCGAATGTCCCCAAGTAAAGCAGAATCTTTTGCTGTCATTATTGTTTTATATTTTGGTGAAAATCGAATATGATGCACAGCTTTTGCGTGAGTTGTCCAATTACAAGATGTCTTTACTGTTACTACCGCTGGCAAACTATGAATTTTCCTGTAATACTAAAACAAAGAGAATTTTCCTCACCCTTCCTATCCGCGAACATGGTCAGGCATTCTGCATTAGCTGACATACAGTTTGCTGCACGTGATTTCCTACTTTGATCATTTAAAAATCGTAAAAGAACTGTTTTTGTTAGTATTCTATTGTCGATATTATACAAAATGATATAATGTTCAGTGATCCACAATTGAAAAGCTTATATCTGACCAGTAATGGGCCATATTTAGAACAGAAAAATTACTGTGAAGACTGCCGCTGCTACAGTCATTTTATTTTATATTCTTTTTTATTTTAGTTTATGAAGTTTGGACCAATTCACAGTCACTATGAAGAACATTTAGAGAAATGAACGAGCTTTAATGGTCTAAAATCCGCAAAGTGAAATAAAGTGGAAATATAGCATCTGCCGTCTTCACAATTAGTTTTATTGAAAAACTTACATTCACTTACATGACCAAGGACATGTGGCACTGTGATTTACGTAGCTGAGTACTAAGTATTTGACATTCATTTCCTTACGTCGATCGAAATATTCTCAAGCTTAGTTTTTCAAATTGTTGCTTTATTTTCAGCGTGATTTGTCATCGATTTTATCGTAGTCCGATCCCGTCTATTTGATCACGCTTTAGTACATTATATGATAAGCATCCAAAAAGCAAAATCAGAATACTGTGCACGAAACGCATTAGTATGTATTTTTCTAGCACAGTTTTCACCTTGTATTTTTTTTCTTCGAGGTTCCTAACTGATTACATCGATTTCTTTTATTCGTTCATAAGGAAAACGAACAACGTATCTATACACCTCTTCTTTTTCAGCTTTTTCTTACTTACCTTTTTAAATTTCTCCTTTGCGATTAGCATACAGAGCTTCGACACAATGGTTGTAGCATAAGCTGAATGGCCTTTTTATAACAATACTCGTAGTTTCCCAGCAAAAAAAGTGTATGCCACAAAACAGACGCTATGAAGCATGAAAGGACAGTGGAAGCAGTTTACACTCTTCCAATCGATGCATCGATTGAAAAATGGACATACAGATTTATTAACGACAGCAGATAATGCAAGACAATACATAAATATACAGGGTTATAGAGAACTCCGAGGGCTTTCAGAATATATAACTTTTTTTAAATGTATTTTTAGAGTGACGATATATTAAAAAAATCGACTGCAACTATTTTTTTCCAGGGGGATATCTACACTAGGTAATTTTCAAACACAACAAGCTAAAAGAATTAAAATTATTATACTGGGTAATGATAGTAGTGATCATTGCATTATGATGTTCAGTTCTTACAAAAAGTGTTCCAGATCGTACACAGTGCCTTATTTCAACTTCTTCATCTAATCGTCAAGGTAGACGATAGTTACTTCGTTAGTATCTCAGAATATGGAGTAACCAAATTTTATCTTTCCAGCTGTCCTGCTCTTTGACTTTAAAACGAGATGCCGTTTTTATTTAAGCCTTTTTTATGAGCAGAGAACATCCATGGACAACATTTTTTCGGTTTATCGAACAAAGTAAGGGAGCATTTCAAAATGCATGCCGATCGCTTGGCTGTTCTGCCGTTCAGTCGTTCGCAGGTCGTTCTGCGGCAGTGAAATTCTAATTTATTTTATTTTGTTTTATTTCGGTTGCTTTGATTGTATCGTGGATACATACATACATTAGCATATATATAGTTCCAATGTACTCGTTTTTTTAATAGACATCATTATAAGAGTAGATATTTTTCTGTTTAAAGAAGAAAATCAGAAAAGAACAAATTTTATATTTTCATCAAATGTTCATCTTTTATATGTTCAATGAGGGAGCGCTCACTGTAAAACTATTTCATATTGCACCAACTTCGCGAACTACAATTACACTAATTAGAGAAGATCCATTTCCTATTCTTATAGTAGTTTAAAGTACACGAGTTGTACACGATACTGATCTAATTTTTAGAAAAGGATCCCTTTTAGTCTTTGAGAAATATGGTTGTGA